CCCTCAGAGATTGACTTTTTACCCTTGCTGATGTTGGCTTTGATGAGTAGTTTTTTAATTTCAGTATAATACTTCCTTATATTACGTGGTTTTTGTGTTCTGATAAGGGTTCTTTTTGCCTCCCCCAAGGTCACTGGAGAATGTCTGGCAAGTTTGTTCTCAAAGCATCTACCATCTGCATCCATTTGGAATTGAATTTTGCTTATGTCGGAGGCTGGGGTCAATGCGTTTCGTTGGCTTTGATGAGTAGTTTTTTAATTTCAGTATAATACTTCCTTATATTACGTGGTTTTTGTGTTCTGATAAGGGTTCTTTTTGCCTCCCCCAAGGTCACTGGAGAATGTCTGGCAAGTTTGTTCTCAAAGCATCTACCATCTGCATCCATTTGGAATTGAATTTTGCTTATGTCGGAGGCTGGGGTCAATGCGTTTCCCATATGAATCTTGAATCTGCTGGGAAGATCAGTTTGTCATCACGCTCTGTGTCACCTTTGTGGAGAGCAGCTGAATCTCTTTCCATATGTCTGTTTCTGAGGCAGATGAGTCGGGAAATGTGCTACAACTGTACCCTTAGCGGTAATTCCAGAGTTTATGAGACCCTCAGAGGGCATGGCACAGGGTGGTGCTGTCTGAGTCTGGCCTGGGGCCGGCTGGGGTGAATTCCTTCGTCCATGCTGTCTGAATTGTGGGCTCACTGCCAGCTCTTAGGCCAGGTTGTCAGGAAGCTAAAGCTGTGGCAGAGCTCATTCCCGGGGACCCTCTAACCTCGAGGAGTGTCATGTGAGGTTCTGTAGGCGCCAAGTGTCCCAAGAATGTGGTTCAGCTCAACAAGGCTGGGCTCAACCTCCTACCGAAACTACTAGTGAAAACAGTTTCATGTTCATTTGAAAGTCCAGGCCTGGGGGGAGAATCCATCAGAGGCCCTGGCTATGAAATCCAGTGAGGGCCAGTGGGGGTGGCCCTGCCACATGGGGCCAAGAGCCTGGGCTGAAATGGATAGTGGGGTGCGGGGCAGGGAAATGACAGGATATGGCTGAGTGAGTCAGGTCAGGAAGGTGGGTTCCAGTGTTCTGCCACAAACTCAGGGACCTCACAGGAATGTAGGCGGACCTCACAGGAATGCAGGCGGACCTCACAGGAATGCAGGTGGACCTCACAGGAACACAGAGGGACCTGATGAGAACTTTGGGGAACTGTGAGGGGACCTCACAGGGACTTGGAGACTTGATGGGAAGTTGACCTGACAGGAACTCAGGGACCTTACCAGAATTTGGGAGGATTTCATGGGCGCTCAAGGGGGACCTGACAAACTGGGGGGACTTTAGGTATGTCACCTGGAATTCGAGGGACCATACAGAAACTCTATGCCTCCATCTCCCTTTTCATCTCTGTGCTATGGGCTAGATTATTTGGTGAAACCCTGGGAATATGACCTTATTTAGAAATAAGGCTTTGTAAGGTTCAGTTAGGTTGTAATGAGGTCATTCAGGTGAGCCCTGATTTGATGTAACAGTGTTCTCAGGAGAAGTAGAGACAGAAACAGAGAAGTGAGCCACGTGGCAGGAGACACCTGGGGCTTAGAGGAGAGACCGGGAAGATCTCCCCAAGGCCCTGCCCAGGCCTTGATTATGTACTTCCAGCCTCCGGAGCTCTGAACAAGAAGCCTTGTGAGCAAGGCTGGCCAGTGCATGGCAGCCTGCCCCAGTAGCTACAGAATCTGTCTCCCTACCCCGCCAGGCTGCTCCTTGCCCTGCCAACTGTTCCCTGCTCTGCCAGCCACTCCCTGCCCTCCCTACACCTCTTCCTGTCTCACTGGCCACAGGAACTGACCACGGGAACTCATCGTGTGTGCTGAGGATTCATGGGTCCCATTCAACTAGCCCCAAGAGAACCTATAGCTTCTGAAGCCTTTTCTTGCCTTACCTCACTAGGCCCACCAAACTCAGGCCCAGGATGACTCAAGGACCACTGGAGCACTCTCCTTCATGCTCATGTTCAATCCAGGGACAAATTATTCCAGCTTTGCCTCAGTCACTTGCTCCCAGCGTGACTGCCCTGCTTTAGGCCTCCAACTTTTCTGTCCGTTTCATCACTGCCCGGTCTCTGTACCCAGGCCCTTTGCAACACAGATTTTCAGCTCAGCTCTTTCCTTCTATGGGTCCAGGCTGGTCTCCACCCTTGAGTCTGAGCTGACCTTGGGACTTGCTTTTGGCCCGTGAACCAGCATGAGCTAGAACGAGGTGAGTATAATTATTCCCCAGTTCTGAGCCCAGGCCTCAGCTTGCCGCTCAACACAAGCCCAAGCTTATCTGTTAGAGTGGGGTGTAGTCATCCCGGACAGGACCGTCCAAGGTGAACTGGACCCAGCTGACCCACCAGTTGAGCCAGATACAGGAGTCCAGCCCAGTCCTGCCAGTGCCACTCACAGGCAGCACCATCACTTAGTGGACCTGTAGAAAGTGCTTTAAGCTGTGTTGAGGGGTGATTATTACAGTCATAGCTAACTGATACAAATCCTTGGCTAACCTCCAGACATTCCTTTCCCTTTTCAGAACATTCTCTCCTTTGAGGGGCCAGGGGGTCCCTCTGCTTATTCCCTCCTGGAGTAAGAATCGCACTGAGTGTGAAGTGGGAATTATGGACAGAAGGCACAGGCCCAGCACTGTCTTGTGTTTCCCTTCTCTCAGCCTCAGTGTACTGACACTCCTTGAAGTCCTACCGACAGCCTGGTTCTGCCTCCTCTCTGCCAGATTGTCCCTCCTCGTCCTTCGCATGTGAGAGGCTGGACCTGGCCACCCAGGTAATGAATCCTCTTCTGTCATTCCCTGTGATCACAGCCCCCTTGGGATTTCTGTTGAGGATCCTAGCTTGCAGCTGCACAGAGGCAGGAGCATTTCCATCCACACAGCATCATCAGCCTCGTAAAGGACCCGGGTCTTAGCATACAGTGGGAGCATACTGGATATCTGCAAAGCAAGGCATCTCTTGCCACTGCTGTCAGTTATCTCCCGCAGACTTAACTGCAGGTTGGTTCCCAACTGCTGCAACTGTGCTGGCCTCAGCACCTTTGCATGCTCTGTTCTCAATGCCTTTCCCTCTCTCACACAGATCGCAGGACTCTTCATCCTCCAGGAAGCCTTTCCTCCTTTGCCTCTCCAAGGGTCCTGACTCTCTTCACTGTGTTTCTGGGTTGCTCCACCTGCTTACTCCTCTGAGGGACTTTAAGCGCCTGTGACTGAGGTAATCGAGTGTTAGGGTCCCAAGCCCCCTCCTGGGATCACTCACCCTGCACACTTTCCTGAAGGAAGAATGAAGGCTGCCCCAGGGCGTCAGAGAGGTGGAGCGTCTCTCCTCAGAGCACTCAGCCCTCAGAGCATCATGGAGTGGGGTCAACCCAACTAGCTCTGCAGGACCAGACCCAGGGTCTTAGTGAACCACAAGAGGGAATCCAGTAAGCCACTAGGTAATACACCTGGTGAGGGAAAGACCAGTTATAAATGCAATCTGTGTGTCACTATGAAGTTAGTCCTTACAGGAAAGGACGTCAGCCATCAGCCTCAAGCCCACACGTGAGGTGTGGTTCCCCACACAACTATGTCCTTCACAGGGCAGTGTCATGTGTCCCCAACCAGTCGTTTAATCTTTGATCGTCTCTGAAGTTCCCCTGGGGACTTGAAACCCTATTATATTGCTTCTCCTAAGAAGTGTTTTTTTTTTTTTTTTATTTATTGCCCCCCCCAACTTATTTTTTAGACAGGGACTCATGTATCCCAAGGTGACCTTGAACTTGAAATGTAGCCGAAGATGAGCTTGAACTCATGATCCTGCCACCACTCCCAAGTGCTGGAATCAGGCAGACGCCACCGTGCCTGGAAAGCTCTATGGGCCTCTCTTCCTGGTGTGAGATGGAGGTGAAGACAAAGTTGATGTCAGCACAATAGTGATGTGGTTTGGCTTGTTCTGCTACAGTCTAGAGAAACTGCAGGCACTTGGCTCATGCCAGATGAGCCTCAAGGGGCAGCAGGTCTAGAGTGACACACTGGTGTGGTGGTTAAACACCTTCTTAGAGTCTATCTCGGCCTCCACCATGTGAGGGTGGATATCCACGTTCAGCCCTGCATCCTTGCACAGCTTGATCAGGGTCCGGATGTTGTTCTTAGACAAACGCAAATACCTGCAAGAGAAGGTGGAGAAAGATGTAGCCATCTTGCCAGATCTCCATTTTAACTGAAAAGGGCTTGGCTTAGGGAGCAGGAGGCGGGCAGGAGCCCTGGGCCTGGCTCCCCTGTGTGAGTCCCTGACAGGACATTCTGCAGAGGTGGCAGAGCTGTTGAGGTCCATGGTGCTGTAACTTGTTGATCGTTTGTCAGGCACTACCCCTGGTCACCGCCAAAGAAAACAGGTTATATTTCACCTACTAAGGAACTACACTGACAGGAAACTGGGAACGGAAGTCAGAGGGAAGCAAAGCCAGTAAAAAAGAGGTGCTCATATGGGGAATGAGATAGCCCATCGGCAGAAATACAGGTAAGGAATGGATCTCTCATTTTGAGAACTCAAAATGGCAAGGAAGAAAGTGGTGTGTGTGTGTGTGTGTGTGTGTGTGTGTGTGTGTGTGTAACCTCGGATGCAGCTTAGTATATTTTACCATTGCCACATGTGATGGCTCTGAGAGGTCAAGGCTGGGGCTCCCATGGGCACATACACAGAACTTTAGGAACCGGCATGCTTATGCTCCTTTAATACACAGTTCAACAACGAGGCCACTGACTTAAAATAATTTCTAAAGTCCCGTAATCCTGCTGTCTGCTGAAAGATGAAATTAGTCCCATCTGTACTGTGGGATCCAGACAAAGCTTCTTATTCTGCTGTCAACCTTCACCTTGGGGCCAACTTTATTTTTATTTCATTTATTTATTTTGATACAGGGTTCTGCTGTGTAATGCAGGCAGGTTTCAAACTCAATCTTCCTGCCTCACCTCCTGAATGGTTAGAGGACAGTGTATGTCATTCTGCCGACTTCTTGGTTCCAGCTTTGCCATGAGGGTGGGTGCTACTGGCCACCTGCTTGCTGTCTAGAGGTAACAGGGAGGACCTGTGCTGCCACCCCCTGGCCTTTGACCTTGCTTATTCTTGTGGTGCATCCATACCACTTTCCTGGTGGCCCCAGTCCTCCCTCTCTTCCTACTTCCTTTCTTCTCTTGAACTTGGGGCAGCTTGGCACTTTTGCATGTGGGCTTTTTGAGACCCCATTGCACCATCTCACTCTTGTTTTAGGTCCCTTCCCAGGGACTTCCCAGATGCCATCTGCCCCAATGCTCTTGCCTTCCATGGGAAAGGAGTTCCCCTGTGGAGCCCAGATAGCTTGACCTTTAGCCAGGACCAAATAGAGTCACATTGTCATTGCTTGGAAACCATGGGCATAGTCATCTACCCATGGTTACAAGGACAGCTGGTTGGGTGTTGTCTTTCATTGGCCCCAGCCCTGATCAATTCCTTACTTAGTCTTTGGGAGCAGTGAGCAGCACTGACTTGAGCTGTATGGCTGGTCAGTTGGTTTCTAGGTGAAAGATGATCACATTGCTGCCAGCTTGGCAAGGGTGACCACATTATTCTTCTATCTTGATTCCTCCTCAGCTAAAAGTACTTTTTTTAAGCTTGCCAGTTATGTCAGCAAAGGGTGAGGGGAGCACACTGGGGGATGACCTGGCCATATGGCATGGTACATTCATGAGATAGCTAGGGATGAAGCTCAGTGGTAGAGCATGTGCCCAGCATGTGCAAGGCCCTAGGTTCCATTTCTAGTACTGAAAAAGGAAGGAAGGAAGGAAGGAAGGGAGGGAGGAAGGGAGGGAGGGAGGGAGGGAGGAAGGGAGGAAGAGAGGGAGGAAAGTAAGTATGGGAATGACTTGTAAATATGAACATAATCTGGACTAATGACTTTTAGTTAACTCCAGCAAAACCATGTGCTCTTGTGTTTTGTGACCTGGGCACCTGATCTCATTTTCTTGACAACCTCAATTTGCTACTGGTGTGTAGCAAATGTGGGTGTGCTTGAGAGTTAACATATCACAGTGCTAAAAGATGGTACCCCACCCTCCATTGCACATGGTGGAGACTGGGAAGGACACATGACCTTCTGTGAAATATTCTGGAATTGGGGGTGAACAGGCCAGATGGTCTGTTATGATTAGGGTGGATCCAAGCTTGTACTTCTCCAACTGAAGTTGGAGAAACCATTTTGAATAAAATTATGGGTGAGGAGGGGCTCAGGACACTGTTCCAGAAACAGAGTTCCAGCAGTCAGTTCCATCAGCACAGGAGACAGGGGTTCCAAAAGATGTCTAGGGGGATGAGTGTCCTCTGGGTTTGGGCACTCTTAGCTTTTCATTTACTCAGGTAATTATAATGTTCATGTAGTAACACAAGGAAGGGAGGGAGGGAGGGAGGGAAGGAAGGAAGGAAGGAAGGAAGGAAGGAAGGAAGGAAGGAAGGAAGGAAGGAAGGAAGGAAACCAAA